AACAGAAGAGGACCTGTGTGATTTGGCTTTGAATGTTCACCGCATTGTTCTCTTTTGTCCACATCAGGGCAGAGTGGGGGTCACACAGGCAGAAGTCGTGTCAGCACTGGAGACGGAAAAGGACACGAGAGGTTCTCCGACACAAAAGCAGGACTTGGCTCAGCAGTGCTGGTTTAGGATAAACGTCTGAGAATGGAGCTAATTGTGGTGAATACAAAGCTTTGGCAATGCAGGGATCCTCTATCAGATGCCAAGGTTTGTGTGTGTGTGTCTGTGTGTGCATTCCCTCACTCGTTTGTTTGCTTTGTCTCCCATCTTTCTCTAGAGACTCTTGGGGAAGTAGGCCTGTCAACCGGCTGCCAAACAAACCTGATTTAGCCATTTTTCTGCAGACAAACAATCATGTTTGGTCCAACAGCTGGTGAATGGTGGCTGGTGAAAAGCGGCTGAATGGCTTTGGTTTCAGAGGTCCTGAAGTGGTCTAGGTGGACCGCCTGCTTTAGATCTCAATTAGCCTCAATATACAACACAGTGTCCGCTGGAGCGCTCGGCCACGTTTACGTGCACAGTTCAGCTTCACAGATGACAGGATTGTGTTGCTGTTAGCTGTGGCTTCACTGCTGCTAGCATCAAAAGCCAAGAGCAAGATGGTGCTTTGACTTTATAGTGTGTGCATGACTTCCTGTCACTTTACACCCTTTACATCCACCTATAAGAGACAAGAGGACGTGTCGTTTTAAGGCTTCAGGCCCATAAAGACTGGGCTGCGGTACATAGTTATCGTAAGGTTAAGTAATTATTCATGTAGAGAGAAATAGACTTCTGAGAATTCACCGTTTGACATTCTGTTGCCCCAAAAAGTCATGAAAACCAACAAAGTCCCTGAAAATGCACATTTTCCTTCTGCTTGAAGAGGTTCGGCTGTTTTAGATGTTTGAGGCTGATGCAGAGAGTAAAATGTTTGGATGACTGGAGAAACAAAGACGCAGATTAAACACATTTCTGCACATCATGAAACTCGGAGCTCGTACGGATATTTAAAAGAACAGTTATGACACTCGTTTCTTTTTCTGAGATGTTTCTGTGATGAAATTCGCCGGTTCAGCCTCCATCAGCCTCCATCAGCCTCCATCAGCACACCACCCTGCCATCTATGGTTCGGGGCAGGACTTGGACTTGGTTAATTCATTGTTTCACCCCCAAAAAACATTTTTAGTGTAACATTGTGTGTGTATAACTCCAGGTTTGACTCAGTGATACAGCTAAGTGGGCTGGTCCACTCAAATAGATCCTAATTGAAGGCAAAAGTTATTAGGACAGAACATGTGGGCTGAGAGTCCTTTCCTTGTTTCCTCTCCTGCCGCCTCGTTATATGAGAATGAATAATGACAAACATATACATTAAACACAGCCATAATTGTGCTGGAATTAATGATTCTGAAAATAAACCTCTGAAACGAGAGGAGGGAAGAATAAAAGAGAGAAAATAGGTCTTGAAGTGTGAGCGTGCACGCTTGTGTGAAAACGTGCGCACTCGTAATGAGAGTTCAGCGGCGCTAACTCGCTCTAAATAAATCCATCATTAGCATTTTCTCTTTAAACGGAATAATTTCAACTTTGATATCGGTAATTGTGCTCAAGGCCTTCAGCGCTCCTCGGCGAGCCCTCAAACACTCGCTGCTCAGCCCATGCAGAGCCTATCAGAGTCGAGCTTTATTCACTCAGCACTCCGTTCTGAAGCAGTAATAACGAGGCTCAGCGCCGGTACAATAAACCAAGGCAACACCCAAAGAGGGCGTGAATCCAAGTAGGTATGGTGTCATATATATGCAGGCAGAGCCACAGAACACATGTTCAATAACACTTTCAAACAGGCTCAGACAGCAAGAACAAAAGAGTCTGCTGCACACAGGGACACACTTTCAGTGCCACAGAGGGGCTCGTGGTTTATGTGGCGGTGGGTAACCAATAGAGGGTGGTGTTGCATTGCTGGTCGGAGCTCAAAGGGTCATCGTGCTGAGCTGTGAGGCAGCGAGAGCGCAGCTCATCACCGGCACGTCTAATCTGCTTTTCATCACCAACGAACGGAATTAAAAAATGGAAAAAGCTGATGTTGACACTGGATGGGTCAGCTTTGATAAACTGGATGCTGTAAATATGAAGTGCAGTTAACGTGTGTCTTTAGCATCGATCTCTCTCAAATCAACAATAAAATAAATGTAGAATTGAACCTCGTGTAACATGTAGACGTAGTTCAGGCTGCACGAGCACAATGTCAGAAGCTAGAAGATGTTGGAGACGTGACCATTTCCCTTCACAGTTCTCCACATGGAGATTAAAAAGGTTTCTAAATAAAAAAAGGAAAATAAACGAACCGATCACCTGAACAGCTCACTGATCACTCATCTTTGTGTGATTGTTCTTTTTAAACTTCTGTTTTCCATCTAGGTCCAGATGGAAGACAGTGTGTGCTTATTGTGCTTATAACTCCATGATAAAAACAGCATTTACTGGGTGTATCCAGCTTTAGTATCGAAGCTTCTGATTGGCTTCTCTCAGCGAGCTCTCCATGTTTGATCTCACAGTGTTTCTGTTTTATCTGCAGCATCTGAACAGATCAGCATCAATATCAGCAGCGAACAGTTGTTGGCAAAGTGATCTTAAAACTCTAAAGGACATCTCCGTGTCCCTCTAATTAAAATTTAACCACCCAACCGAGGTGATGGGCGATAGGAGGAGTGGTTGAGAGGGTGGGGGTGGGGTGGGGGCTTATTTAGCATTAACATAAAAACAAACAGCCTCATATATATATGCAAATGAAGGAAGGGCAAAAGCAGGATGCCAGGAGCCATTCGCCATAACTCACGCTGATGGCCTTTAAGTGAGAAATCGCTTTCCAAAAATGTCCAATAAGAAAGTGGAACGATGCACCTGTCGCCCATCTGACTAATGAGCCAATCAGGTTGCAAGGACAAGGAGGCACATCGAGATCGTGATGTTGGCCTGGAGTGTCACTTCCTGCTGAAGCTGCTCGTGATTCCAAAGCAGTGAGTATTTCACTGCTTTTGATGAGGACAAAAAATGGGCTAAAAAGTCAACACGGCTCCTTAAACCTGCGATTAGAGCAGATTTATTACAGCAGAACCAAAGCATCTCTGAAGTTTGTGTGCACGTGTGGACTGAATTTGAGCGTCTTCTTCTTTTCTGCTCCTACATCTACGAGGTGCTTAAAGCAGCTTTAAGCTCACATCTTCATTTAAAAAAAAAAGGCGCTGGCACCGAGTGGTGCCTTAAATCTGACAATGATTTACATTTCAACATCACGCTCTCTGTCGCCTGTTATTGTGACAAAGTGCTGCACGTATCCCTCCCAAATGAAAGTGGGTGTTCTGTTGTGTGTGCGACAAAGACGTTTGGACAAACCTGCCATCTTCTTCTTTTCCTCGTAAATGAGCATGGGAAATCTATTTATGTCCTCCTACAGTGTGCTGCTGAAACGAGCAGAGGCTGGTTGGGAGACAGTCGAGATGAGCCCCGTGAAGATATATTTGAGAAAGAGAAGAAGAGGGACAGACGAGGGAAGAAGTCCAAATAGACGGGGAGAGGCGTTCTCGCTGAAATGTGTGGTGCTGACAACACCTGGCCCGGGAACAAGCTGCAGGCTGCAGGCGAGGGGGGAGGAATAAACCCCGAGGCCTTCGCCACGACCATCCCTACTGTGAGGCTTCAGAGAGAGACACCCAAGTTTGCAGGATGAAGGATTCTCAGCTAAATGGCGTCTGCTTTAAAACTACAATTATAATAATAACACTGATATTTTTGTCAGGTG